GGAATCGAGATTAGGGTTAGTAGGTCGAGTGATCAAAAGATTGGTTGGTGATTGAATTATACTTAGATGTAATTTAAACTAAAGTAAACAATTAAATGCAATAGAGAGAAAATAAGAGAGAGAGATCTTGGGATTTAGAGATCACCACTAAGCATAGCTTTTCTACACCCTTAATGAATGATTAATGAGGGGGAAAACATGTATTGCAACAATAGTATGTGTGTGTGGTTGTTTCAACAAGCATGGATGACTAATTAAGTATATATTGTCCAAGCAACATAGTGGATAGCACAATATATCAAATTAAGCCATTAATCCTTTCTTTAAGCTCACAATCCAAACACATCACAAGGTTAGAGACATATGCTACTTGTTTTCATAAGTATGGAACATCAAACAACAAGCATGGATTGTCCTCCCATTTAACATCTAAACTACAACTACACTACAATTAAGCTAATGACATGAAATTAAACTAATTAAACTAAGAGAGAGGCACAATCCATCAAGAAATGAGTATGAACCATCAAATAAGCCACAAGAGCATTCTATTAAGCACTATGTCTTGACAATCTCTAAATCTATAGCATCAATACACATAGACATGCATCAATAACACAAAATATAGAGACAAACACATGAACATCTATTCTAGCATACATAGACATATGGATAGAATGAAATGATCAATTGGAAGCATTAAACCACACAAATCATTGAATAAACAAAATCTATGTATATAAAAATGTTAAAACATATATAACAATACAAATCCCCTCAAAAATACATAAATCAAGATGTAGAAAGCATGCTTAGGGCTAACTCTAGCCCCAAGAGGATGTCTAGCCACTCATGGATGGTGTCCTCCAACCCTCAAAGGCATACTCCATGGTAGAAATTGCTCCTCTTCTTGGTTGATGGAAGAACTCCAAGCTTGTGTCTCTAGCCTCCTCTCTTCTTTTCTTCCTTACTAAGAATATGATATGAAAATTGTGTCAAAAGTCTCTTTCAAGTATGTCTCAAGAATAGCTCATATTCCTTATATAGGTAGGTCAAATGTCACCCCCAATGACCTAGGCTCGTACACCAATATTCCTCCCAATGATTGGATATGAGACAACCTTTAATGAGCTGGAAATTGAATTTTCTTACACTTGGGGAAGTTCGATCGATCGAACTTGTGGTGAGATCGATCGAACATGGCTGAGATCTATCGAATTTAAGCTGGATCGATCCTCCCATGGCGGCGCCTTTTTGGATAAGGACATATCTGAGATATTTTGGGGAATGAGACAAAAGTGATAAGTAGGGTGGTACAATAGGATAAGATGAAATCTTTTCGATCGATCTGAGAATTGTTGGATCGATCGAACTTTGTGGGATCTTTGGACAAGGACAAAAGAGCTTGGATCCATCTTGAAATGTCTAGATCGATGAACTTTCGATCGATCGAAGTGTACTTGTGATTGATCGAACCTGCTGAATCCTATACTTTGCTTCAATCTGCTTCCACTTTGCTCCTTTCTTCCATCCAGCTTGAGTTAGCTTCTTTTAAGCTCTTATTTGGCTGAATTAGCTTATTTTGGGGATAAGCACCTAAAAAGGGCAATAACACGAAATTAGTCTAAAATAGGAAAGTAAGATAGATAAAGGTCCTAGAATACCTAAGCTTAAGGGTTTAAATGCGCACTTTTCAGCGCTCATCACACCCCCAAACTTAAATATTGCTAGTCCCTAGCAATGAACTACAAAGTAAGGAAATGAAATGAACAACTATACAACTATGAACTAGAAGCAATAAATGGATAACGCCACTTTCGTAGGGAACACGATTACATTTAGCATATGCAACAAGTCTTTTAAACCCCTAGGTTACCCCTAGTGGAAGAGTGAAGTCTCGTGAGAGTTTCCAGAAATGATACCCACAAACATTAAGCTCATTCTTACAAAAGAGGCACCAATATTGCAAACAAACATTGGGAGAAAAATAACTCAAGTATGCAATTTTTCAACCCTTTCCAAGCAATCTCCCAAAATCTCAACATCAAGCAAGCAAGTATAGTCCTCCACACATCAAGAAAATGATCATGTAAATCAAAACAACACTAAAATCCTTTTTGAGTGGACCGGCATCAAGTATGTTGCTATCTAAGCCAACTAAAGAAATGATCACATATTTACCCTCAAACTAGCACACAAATCTAGTACCGATCATCAAGACAAAGGGTAAACCTTTTATTAAAGCTTTATTGATCTAGGTACGCTTATTCTTTTCACTTTATTGACCTTAAGCTGGATCGATCCTCCCATGGCAGCGCCTTTTTAAATAAGGACAGATATGAGATATTTTGGGGAATGAGACAAAAGTGGTAGGTAGGATGGTACAACAGGATAAAATGGAATCTTTTCGATCGATCTGAGAATTGTTGGATCGATCGAACTTTGTGGGATCTTTAGACAAGGACAAAAGAGCTTGGATCCATCTGGAAATGTCTAGATTGATGAACTTTCGATCGATCGAAGTGTACTTGTGATCGATCGAACCTGCTGAATCCCATACTTTGCTTCAATCTGCTTCCACTTTGCTTCTTTCTTCCATCCAGCTTAAGTTAGCTTCTTTTAAGCTCTTTTTTGGCTGAATTAGCTTATTTTGGGGATAAGCACCTAAAAATGGCAATAACACAAAATTAGTCTAAAACGGGAAAGTAAGATAGATAAAGGTCCTAGAATACCTAAGCTTAAGGGGTTTAAATGCGCACTTTTCAGCGTTCATCAGAAGGTGCCTAAGACATACCTCTTGATGACCCGTGAATCCAAACAAAGCATAGGTTAAAGGAAATCGGGATCATGCCATTTTCGGGAAAAATATAATCACAATAACAACTACAATAATCCAAGTCATAAATGAACCATGCTATGCTATGGAATGCAATGTCACTCCCCATTTTCAAAACCTTTTTCTGTCATCATTTCCAAACCGTTAGTGTAACCCGTCCCATGGCAACTCCATGGAGGCACGAGAGAAGGGTTAGCTAACTATCCCTGACCACAAGGCAACTCCAGGGTGTCATTTAGGGCCCAGTTAACTCAACCACTCTTAGGCAGTCTCCCTAGTTCTCTTTAGGTTCCATTAACACCGTGGACCCATAGGCAACTCCTAGGCGACCGAGTTTTCGCAAACCTTTCATCAAAAACTTTTCCCCAAAACCATTTTCTTTCTTTCCATTTCAAATCAAATTTTTCCCTTTTTCTTACCCAATGTCATGCATGAATGCATCGTGCCTTTCCATGCCATGTCAATATTGAAATCTTACATATCATAACAACATCAAGCTTGTATATTAAAAAAATATATATAAAATAAAATAAAATAAAATAAAAAATCTAGTTCATAACCATTCACAAAATCAACCTCACAAAAAAATTATCTAGCGCTTGTGCAATTTTCATGATATTCTCATTATCCGTTTGAGACTACCCTATAGTCCATTGAGAGCTCATAGTGTGAATATATATATATATATATATATATATATATATATATATATATATATATCGACTATGTAGATAGTGCATGAGTTGGCTAGGGACGTATCTCTTATCGATTCTCTGATTGGATCGTTATAGAAAGAACTTGTTCGTGGGTTTTGACCCACTTTTGTTATATTTTTCAAATGTCAATCGATTCCAGACTTGGATGTTGTTCATGTTGATCAGAGAGCATTCATGTTCACTCTTCCGGAGTCGTTGATGTAGGATCATCTTCGTTGGTTGATTTAGTTTGTTTATCTTTTGTTCAGTAGATTTGGACGTTACTTCAGTTATGGGTTTTATTTGGGGTCTATGATGTTTGCATGCCGATTTGTACTTTGGAGAATATTGATGTCAAAGGATTTCAGATTTATTTATTAATTTAGTTTTCCTTTTCAGCGTTATTATTTATTTTATTATTTCCTCTTATATTATTTGTTCGTTTATTACCTAATTATTTTTTGTATCATTGGGTCTTTGGGTGTGGGTTTGGCCAACCTACACGTGGAAATTCAGAGGTATCACACTAACACAGTTACACTAATTGTTGTCCATTGTCGTGAGTAACTTTACTTGAATTTTTCGCTTCCGAAACTGAGACTCAAATAAAAGGAAATATTACCAACTCGATTAGGACTTCGTTTTGTTCGCCAAAATATGCCAATACCAGTTTTATATCTCACACTAGCTATTGTCGATGAACTGTTTAGCTGTTGGTTTCTTTTGTGTTACTTTTGAAGTTCTGTAATGAAGTACAAGTAGCAGTTGAATGAACACTTGGCTTGTCGAAGTTGTAACCATGTACAGTTGTGTGTTATGTAAATCTCTGTAAAATATCAACTTGGTCTTTTGATGTATAAAAGCTGTGATTTTCTAGTTATGTTGTGTGTGTATGCTTGTGGCTGAACCATCATAGCAGGTTAGAGAACTTAAAGTGAGCATATAAGAGTGAACACAAAACAGGGTTAGAAAACTTAAAGTGAGCATGTAAGAGTGTCTATATGATCATCTGAAAAGATTTTAATAGAAAGCACATTGACCTCGTATTGAAGAACAGAGTGGTTCGACTTGGGACTCTTAATAAGTTCATTTAATTCCCAAGAAAAAGGTGAACTTTTCATCTAAGTAAATCAGTTATTTTTCCAGTTCCCAATGGGGCATAAATAAGTTGCTTAATGCATAGACATTGACATTGTTACATATAACCCTAACCATATCTGCCTGACAGCTGAGCCATCTACGATACTCTTGTTAACATGGTGGATTCAGGTGGTGTGTAAGAATCGGCTTTGCTTAAAAGCAAATTGTGGATCACGTTCCAATTTTTTAAGTTCAAGAGCGATTCGAGTTCAAAAATGAATATAAAGTGCAACACTGAACAGAAAAATAAGTGATGCTTGTGTGTGTGTGTTTGCTTGTGTGCGTTTTTGGGGGGTAGGGGGAAGGTGGGGTGGTGAAATTGAAATAAATTTTTGGAACTGAATTTCATTAGATGCTTACTAACAAGCTTACAATATTAGATAAATGTTCTACAAACATGGCATTTGAAGGTACAAGCAATACAGTTGTGACAGTATAATCAACTCCCTAAAAGATAAACCCTTCCTTTTAAGGGCATTGGCATGTAAATCCTTCAAGTGAAGAATGCAAAATGAGAAATTTTTACGCTGCACTGGCCAAAAGCAGTTGAAGAAACATCAATCAATCAGCGCATAGGATTCGGAAAGTGGAGAGCCAATTTCAAAGTTCAGAACCTCAGTTCAGCATGCTCTTTCACCAGCTTCCTCTGTGCTGGTAACCTTTGGTTTTTGCCTCTCGTTCTTTTGTCCAATGAAGAGATCTTGGGGGTTCAAGTCATGCTACTCCGCGTCCAGACCCTATCTATTATCATTTGCCTGCCAGACAAATCCTCTTCATAACCAACAACCTGCATTTGAAACACAGTGCAATCGTCATGTAAAATTGAATGGGATCAGATCAGTTTCGTCTCATTTTCATTTACATTATTCCTTCTTGAGGAGATGCATTTTTCACACAATATCAAGGTTATGGAGAATTGCAATTATAAAAACAACCAAAAACAACAGCAAAAGATGAGATGAAACCTGAGATTCTGTTTGTATTTCGCTAAAACCATCATAAATGCCGGGATTTAGATCTTCAGAATGATTGCGGATGTCGTCCTTTTTATCAGCCCTGAAGCAAATTAAGCCCAAAGACTCAGTTGAAAGAAAATGAGCAAGAGAAAGCACATAAATGTTACTCATCTGATTTTGATGTTCTATAACTAATTATTTTACTATTTCATGGCTTAAGTTCTCGGTGCAAATAATCTCTAGTAAGGTTATGATGGAAAGTCGAATGATTTTGCAAGCAATAACAAAAGAGCATAAAAATGCCAATACCATTTAGCTTCAAACTTCTCTTATATTTTTTTTGGTGTCTTTTGGACAGAACATTACAAATAAAGAAACTGTTTATAGCAAAGATAAAAGTAAAGATAACCAATAAATAATAATAAAATAAAAAAAGTCACCTGTTTATCCAGTGCTTAGACAACCCAAAAGCAGACTGAGGATCTGTAGGATCTCGACCAATGATTGAACAATCAGATGAGAAAAGCTGTTTTACAGTCATGGATTGAAACTTGTGCAAATACCGAATGTCAACACTATTAGAAAAGACATAACGATCAAAACTAAAAAGAACACAAGGATAGACTTCTACCACATGCAGTCCCCTCTGGTGACTTCAGATCGTGAATCTAATACCAAAAACCAGACAATCGATAAGTCACCAATCAACAGACTCAATACAGTTGAGAAAAGTCGTCATCTTTTACCTTACTCGTTTGCTCTAACAAATCCTCAATAGCAGAAGCTAAATAAGGTATGGCATGAGAAACTTCCTCAATGTTTTCTGCTATGTTGTTTTCCGTGGAAGTCATCCTCCAGATAGGATCATTTCGATTAACTCCACAAGATAGTAGACCCCTTTGGCTGTCATCTCCCAGAAGCCTTGCCTTCTTATTGCAAATACTTGAATGATTTAACTCTTCCCTAAAGCTGTCACTTCTGCTACCAATACCTTGAGTTTGAATTCTCGGGTCCTGGGACTGACTTGGAAACTGGGATGCATTATCTCCAGATATCATTCGAATGGATTGTGAAGGATACTGAGAAACTGCTTGTTACACGAATTATATCTCGGGGGTGTAAACTTCATAATTGAGCTACATCTCGTCAGCTCTGTTGTTCAAAGCTTGGAGGAGGAGGAGGAGGAGGAGCGGACTGAAGATTAGGTTTCTGGAGAAGACCGGGAAACCACTTGTTAGATTTGTGTCTGTCCTCTCCCTGCGGAGAAGTCAACTTCTCCGGACGGAAGTGAGCTTCTCCCACATCCAATTCTGGCTTCCTCTTTACCTTTTCCTTCATCAAAGCCTCCACCATCCTGGTGTCACTGGAATTACCTGAATTTCCTCCTTTGACCTTCTCTTGTTTTGGCTGGTTCAAGCCTGGATCATTCACTAAGGTACTGGGTATTCGAGCAGAAATAGATGATGTTGTTGTATTGGCCACTGGCCTATTGAGTGAAGTGATGCCAAGGTTACCTGAATCAGTAACCAACTTGTCTTGTACATCGTGGCTGAGGTATAGAACTAGCTTCTACTTGAATAGTCTCCTCTGTCTTTGGGGTCAACAATTTCTTACTCCTGATTATTTCCTGATCCTAAACATAACAGAAAATATATGGCCATTAGATAACATGAAGATTGGGTTTTAGAGAAACTATACATGAAGCCTCACATATATAAGCATTTGCAAAGTGGGATACACCCCCACCCCAACCTCACCCCAAACACAAAGAAAAGAGCTCAAAAATTAGTGTCTTTGCATATTAAATCCTCCCTCCACCCTAATCAACCCTTTTCCTCTATGTTAGTAGATCTTGGGACTTTTAACCCAAAATATTACTAAAAAGTTAGCAATTTTCTGATATTGATTAAACTTTTAGAAAAATTTCAAGGCATATATGCCTTCTATTAAAATTCCTTGACACAATTATTTTCAAGCAGAAAACTCAAAAAGTAAAAAACTGGCTGCTTTGTTCTTTTTTTTTTTTTTTTTACAAGTGTATAAACCGTTCAAAGGGGAACACATCCCAAGAGCTAAACAAAAGCCGAAGCCAAAAGGGGAGTCCTATGGATCCAAAGAACCCAAAAAATACAAGATATCATCCATAGATATACAATTTATCCCCATCACCCAACTAAAAGGAGAAAAAATAATAGAAAATTTCAACGCCCCATGGAGGATTCCTCCCCATCAAAAGATCTTCTATTCCACTCTCCACCAAACACTCCACCAAACACAGAAGGGGGTCGCCCTCCAAAAGTCAAGAGCGTGGGCCCCCACCCTCTGGCCCCTCCAAGCGTCAATCAAATCCCTTGAAGCTCGAGGCATAACCCAATGTATGCCAAACAGACCAAAAATAAGACTCATGAGCCACAAGGCAATGTAAAAGAAGGTGATCTACAGACTCTATCATTTTTACATAGAACTTTACTGTGATCTTCTCTTTCTCAAATTGTCTAGAGTCAAAATCTTGCCCAGCAGCAATCCAAACAAAAAAAGCCAACCCTAGGAGGAGCCTTAGAGCGCCAAACCGTTTTCCAGGGGAAGTAGGAACCGTGAAACCCGGAGAGGCAGAGGAAAAAGGAACAGACCTAAAACATCCCCTAAGAAGAAAGCACCCAAATCAAGAAATCCGAACGAGTACCATCCACATCCTGTCTATACAAAATCTCCAGCAAACCAGTCACGTCGTCTAACTCTCAATCCTGAAATGATCACCGGAACTACACGTCCCAAGTAGGCCTACCGCTATCAAGCCGAAAACAGTCGGCTACCAAAACATGTCTATCAACAAGCTTGAACAACCTTGGAAACAAACAAAACAATGGGCGATCTTCGCACCAAAGATCCTCCCAGAACTGGACGTCCCTTCCCTCCCGAACTTTGAATCTAATGTGCTTAGAGAACTTATCCCAGCCTTCCGAATGATTTTCCACGCCAAAAGCAGATCTAACCAGCCTAGATGTCCATCCCCTTCTCTCCTCCCCAAAACCACACAAAATAACCCTCCTCCATAACCTGTGTCTTTCGCTACTGAATCCCCACAACCACTTGCCAAGGAGCGCTCTGTGGGCCAACTTCCTAACCCCAAGGCCGCCCAACTGAGAGGCCTGCAAACCTGCTCCCACCGGACAAAAAAATACTTAAACTCCTCCCCTCGACCGCCCCAAAGAAAGTTTCACTAAAGACTCTCGAGTCTTTTAGCAATAGAGGAAGGAATCTGGAAAATCGAAAGATAATAAGTTGGAAGACTGGACAATGTACTCTTCACCAAAGTAACCTTCCCGCCCTTCGAAAGATATTGGTTTTTCCACCCAGCCAACCTTATCTCGAATTGCTCTATCACCGGGTCCCAACTTCCCACTCTCTTTTACGAATCACCCAATGGAAAACCCAAATACAAAATAGGGAAAGAGCTCATTCCACACCATAAAATCGCCGCAAGAGTAGGCTGTAGCCACATCCTGAACCTCCCTCACAAGGACGAGCACACTCTTTCCCGCGTTAACTCTCAAACCTGAAATTGCCTGAAAGCAAACCAGAACACATCTCAAATATCTCAATTGGGACACCTCTGCCTCACAAAAAACCAAGGTGTCATCTGCAAAAAACAAATGAGAGATCTCCATTTGCTAAACCAATTATCGACCCGTCCTAAAACCCCTGATGAAGCCTAAATCCACTACCCTTCTCATCAACCTACTAAGGGCCTCCATAACAATAATGAACAGGAAAGGGGAGAGGGGATCCCTTTGCCTCAAACCTCGAGAGCTGCCGAAAAACCTGGATGGAGACCTATTCACCAACACAGAAAATCTGACAAAGGAAACACACGCCTCGATCCATCTCCTCCACCAATCTCTGAAAACCATCCTCTCTAATAGATAGAACAAGATTTTATGGCTAACATGATCATAGGCTTTCTCAATATCGAGCCTGCACACAACTCCAGGAACACCGCTACTCAGCTTAAAATCCACACATTCGCTAGCAATAAGGGCAATAAAAGATGCATTCAGTGACTTTTCGAACCTCCCATTAGAATGGAACTCGTGAAAAATGCCTATACTCTCCTGTCTCACCACCTCCTAGCTTTCCAATAAAAACGTCGTTGTGAAACCGTTCGGACCCGGAGCTTTGTCACCATTACAACTCTTCAAAGCCTTCAAAACCTCCTCCTCCGAAAAGGCAAATCTCTAACCCATCCCGATCCACTACAGAAATAAAGTCAAAGTGAAGGCCATCAAGTCGTGGTCTCCGACGTAGGGGCTCAGAATAGAGCCGCTAGTAGAACGAAACTATCCCCCCACGCACCTCTTCCTCCATACTCAACAATGTGATTACCCCTCCTATGGGCATTAACAAGTCTATGAAAAAAATTCGTATTATAGTCTCCCTCTTTGAGCCATAAAGCCCGAGATTTCTGTCTCCACGAAATTTCTTCCATATCAGCAATCTCTGCCTGACAAGCTACTCAACTATCTCTCGATGGGACTCAACAATACTACCCACCCCTTCCAATCTATCAATCTCAGCAATATCAGCTAGAGGCCTATTCTTCCTCCACTCTAAATTCCCGAACACCTCCTTATTCCATCTTTTTAGTTTATTCTTCAGGGGACGAAATTTTCCATCCAAAATAAAACTCGGCGTTCCCACCACTATATCCTCCTGCCACCAAGACCGCACTTTCCCCTGAAAGTCAACCGCTCTAATCCACATATTCTCAAATCTGAAGGGAGTACAATGAGGTCTCAATCCTCCACAATCCAAGACCAAAGGAATGTGATCAGAAGTCACCCTAGCCAAAACAGCCTGAACAGCATACGGAAACTTCTCCTTTATGCTAGTTAGGTTTTTGTATACTGATTACAGAGAGTTTTCAACTACTCCTAGAACCATCGATAGGATTATTTGTTTCTCTCCTAAGTTGTTCGCTTTGTTAACCCACTGGCTCTTTTGTTTTTGGCTGCTAAACTGGTGGATTTGGGGGTTCTGAGATTTTTTGTACAGAATGGGATTTAATCCCTTCCCTCTGTAATTTGGCTATTGGCCTTTGTTAATGTTTCGCTCTTACCAAAATATATATATCTAAGGATGCTGGTTTTGGTTTGAGAGCAGCCACCATGTGCAAGGTATTGTCAAATATTAGGACTCTCTCCACTTTTCCCTCCCAATACCTCATGTAGACGGGACAACACGAAAATGACCATTTTAATACCATGTTGTCAAGTCAACTCAACAAGCCCTTTTTCCAACTGCTTGGGGTTAGTTATGTGAATTGAATGTTTTCATTCCGCTCTATCCAAGGCAGATCTTTAGTCAAACCACATGTTAACAAATCATTCCTTACTAATTCTACCCACATTAACTTTGGTCTTCCCTTCCCTCTAGCAGTACCCTCTACGTGGCCTATGTCACTCTTCCTAACTGGCGCACTTAAAAAAATCTACTTTGTATATGACCAAACCATCTTAATCAATTTTCTCTCAATTTATTTCCAATTGATGCTACTCCAACCATTTCATGAAAGTCTCATTTCTAATTCTATCCTTTCTTTTCTTGTCACACATTCATTGCAACATTCGCATTTATGCCACACTCACTTTATGCATAAGTTGTTTCTTAGTTGTCCAACATTCTATCCCATAAAATACAGCCGGTCTAGTAGCTAATTTATAGAACTACCCTTTCAAGCTTAACAGGATAAACTGATCACACATTATACCGGATGCGCTCCTGCATTAAACCCAACCTGCCTTGATTATATGATTTAACATAATATGTGTCGTCAAAAGACAATATTTCCTTGAACATTTTGGGTAAAGTAACATCTTTGAAGATATAAAAAAAAAACCTCCTAGCAATCAAAACAACTTATTCCTTATAAACGAAGAAGAGCTGATTACTTCCAAACCTCAGATTTATACACAAAATATCTTTATACCGTAGGAACAGAAGTCACTATCTCATCTCTCTCACACACGCAAGGCCACTAACACATTACAGAACATGAATTTGACAAGTAC